TACAAACTATGAAATTGAATATTATACTGCAGTAAAACCTAGATTCTTCACTAAGTTAAGTTCCTTAGCCCTTTATAAAGATGAGGATTTGTGAACTAGCCTGAGGGGGGGGTGTGTTGTATATAGCTACTACAAAGAGCTGTGCAGGAGTTCTGGGGTTCTCTAGCTGTGGTTTGTTATAGCTTTCATTTCAAAGGATATCACATCTGTCACGAGCTTCAGTTGAATGGAGAAGTGGTGCCCTTTGAAGTAAAAGCTGAAGCAGTCTACTGAACTGTCCTTAATTCAGCTACCCACTGCAAATTAAGTGGATTGCAAACAACTAATGATCCAGGTTCTTACGCATGTATCATAGTGTATTGTGTCTGCTATGTGACTTTCCACAGAAAAGACCTTGTCAAAAAATTTTAAATAGATTCACTACATCTGAACAAATCCCTTTAGCTGAAAAATCCCACTCTAAAACAGAAGCAGGTTACCTCTGTATAAATTATCGGTCACTATCAGTAAGACTGTTTTCCTAGAGGATTCATCTGGAAGGGTGGAGGAGGATAGGAGCATGGGAGAGATATTAAATAATCTAGATAGAATCTTTCCAGCATTCTTGCAGAGCACAGCTTAAACAAGACAGCAGCAAGTTTGTACTCTTACCTGTGTTTAGAAATAATCTACATGAAGGCTTTTTATCTGTTGAAGAGCATGAGATATAGTATAGTACCTTGAAAAGTACCAAATTTCCATTCCATCAAGAAAATATGCATTCCCCTCATCACTAATTTAGTTGGAGGCATTTTCAGGAAAAGAAGGGCAACAACAGCTTAGTTATTGAAATAATAATATATATTCCGTCCTATAAAAGGACTTTTAGAGAGCTAGCAGAAACAAAGCATCCAGTTGTTCAATTTAAATCCTGCACTTGTTAAGATTCTGATAAAATCACATCTCTAAAGGATAGCCAGAACTCAAATTGATATTTACTTGCTGCGTGTGTGTCTGTGTGTATTATTTCTTTAAATATACCTGAAATTGAAATAAACACTGCTTTATTCACTTCCTAGAAAGCAGAGGTTTGGTGCAAGGTGTTTAGTTAAACAAACACTGATGATAGCTAAAATTTTGGCTTCTAGGTAAAGAGAAGGATCTCAGAATATAAAGTTAGTACAAACCCTCTTACTCAGTGACCTGAATTAATGCTTACATAATGACAGCTAACTCCCATACCAAGATAAAAAGGAGTCACAGCTACTAGTGGTTAGGCTCAGAGGGAACTCAAAGAAACATAGTAACTTGAGTTGACTGAAATAAATTTATTGTAGGCCATAAGGATATGATGGCTGTCATAATAAAAATTAGAGATCAGTCTTTTTCCCTTGCTCCAGTTGAATGCTTATTACCAGTGTTATTAAATTATTATTGCATGTTTTATTCAAATTATTTAATCGTGTTTTAAAATAAATTCTGAAATCTGTGGGGTCATGATGATGCTCTGGAAATAAATGTGAAATCTACTTATAAAGTTTAGATTTTTAGAATCTTACAATCTTTAGAGCCTTTAGAAATGGCTCCAAATGTACATGTCCACAAATACCTTTACTTACAGCTCTCATGATCACTTCCCAGACACAACTTCTGCCTTTTCTCTGTTTTCTTTATATTATAGCAGTGCTGTCTTCAGTCCTTCACACCTTGCAAACTTTCCTCCTCTTAAGTCTCCCTCTAGGACTCATTTATTTTGATTACCTTCTTTGTCTTAGGATTGATTTCCACAATTATTGAAAGCAAGTCTCACATGGTTTTAATGGAGCATTACCTTCAGTATGTTACCTCTGGTGCCTTCACATCTCAATATTTCTCATCATCTAAGGTGGTAAATGCAAAACACATAATCACATGTTCCTCTTTTTAAAAGGTAACTATTAGGGTGTGTAAACAACTAAAGCATGTTTCATGGCAGGTTACTGCAAATGTTGCCTAAAACCAATGATTCTATAGATATAATTAGCTAAATCATTAGCTAATATAGATTTGCATAATTTGGGCATAACTTGAATGGTTTCCCTGGAGTTTACTGATTTATACAACTTGGAGACCTGGCAATAAATCCAGTGAATGACCCTTAGAGTTTTCTGTCAGTTTGGTGTCAGTTATTACTGAGTCTAGCACTAGTTAAAGAAAAATAAAAACAGAGCGAACTTCTGGAAATTTTTGATCCAGCATCAGCTTGGTAAAGGGGTGCAATGGAGGATTTAATAAACCCTCTAATGGCCTAATAAAATGGTCTAATGAAAGATATCAGATTCACCCAAAGAACCTTGTCTGCCTATGTTCTTAGACCAACACGGCTACAACCTACATCCCTGTAATATGGAGGATTTAAGTTTCTTACTACAATCCTCCCCCTCCCTTTAATTTTACCTTTGGAAATTTGCTCAGAACAATGTGTTCACACAAAGATTTCTAACTACATGACAATGGAACAAAGATTCCTTTTTGTGTCATTTTGCGCCTGAGTTCTAAAGTGATCAAGGGATTTAAACAGCCAAGCAACTCAGCTTAGTGGTTGGGGCATTCCTGGGAAGTGGGAGATGTGTTTGAATTCCTTCCATGTCAGGAGAGCCTGGAATAACCTTAAGTCCTGGGTTATGTTTCACAAAGGAATTATGTCTAATAGTAAATTAAATTCAAAGTTCCTTAAAAAAGGTTAACAGGGAATTAGCAACATGACAATCTGCAAATTTGCCTCCCATAAGAAAAATGACATTTTTATTAGCATGTTAATTTTAAAATGCGTAAAATGCCAAATAATCTCATGACTTTTTTCTTCCGAGATACCTTAGTGAATAGTTAACATTATTTTTATAGTTTGAAAAGACTGTTTAGACGGAACAAAATTCATTCCAAGTAAAGAAGGTAGACCACTTTACTTACTCTGCTCTATTGGAGAGTGAATCTGGAGTAGTACTAAATGGTTTGGAACTCAGAAAAGTGTAGGTCTTTGCTTTGATTTTCCTCAAAGTACTGTTTTACCTGAATCCAAGATTACTTTGAATTTAAGATGATCTGCCTCCCAATAATTAGATTCTGAACTCCCACCCCTTATCGCTCTGGCCCTTGCTCCCTCCCGCCTGGTACATGTGCCTGCACCCCAGCTGCCTGTTCCCTGTAGCCACTTGTCCCCCACTACCTGTGCCCCCCTAAACCTAGCTCCTGCCCCAACCATTTGCCTCTCCACCGTTGACTTTCTGCAGCAGCTGTAGCTAGGGTAGTCTGCAACAGTGGTCCTGGCCTCATCCTGGCCCAGCTTGGGAGGAGCAGCCAGGCCAGGTCAGGACCCAGAGAGTAGCGGTTGTACTCAGCCTGGCAAGATGTGAGCAATGGGATATCCCAGGGCTCGGTCCTCGGGCCCACACTGGTTAACATCTTCATCAGCGACTTGGACAAGGAGGTGGAAAGCACACTGTCCAAGTTTGCTGATGACACTAAGATGTGGGGCGAGGTGGACACACTTGAAGGGAGAGAGAGGTTGCAAATAGATTTAGACAGACTACAAAAGTGGGCAGATGAGAATAGGATGGGGTCCAACATAGATAAATGCAGGGTCCTGCACCTAGGGAGAAGGAACCCACAGCATGCATACAGGCTAGGGAGTTCCCTTCTTGAAAGCACAGAGGCAGAACGGGATCTTGGAGTCATTGACTCCAAGATGAACATGAGCCGCCAATGCCAGACCGCAGCCAGCAAGGCCAGCCATATCTTGTCATGCATCGAAAGATGCATCTCAGGCCGGTCCAGAGAGGTGATACTCCTCCTCTGTGCGACTTTGGTCAGGCTGCAATTGGAGTACTGTATCCAGTACTGGGCGCTGCACTTTAAAAAGGATGTGGCCAGCCTGGAGAGGGTTCAGAGGAGGGCCACCCGCTTGATGAGAGGGCAACAGGACAGGCCCTATGAGGAGAGGATGAGGGACTTGAACCTGTTCAGCCTCAGCAATATGAGGCTGAGGGGGAACCTGGTGGCTGCCTACAAACTCATCAGGGAAGATCAACAGCAAATAGCTAGAGCCCTTTTCTCCCCAACACCACCTGGGGTGACGAACAATGGTAATAAGCTGATGGAGAGTAGATTTAGGTTAGAGATCAGAAAGCAATTTTTTACAGTTAGGGTGGCCAAAATCTGGAACCAACTTCCCAGGGAAGTGGTCCTCGCCCCTACCTTGGCCAAATTCAGGAGGAGGATGGATGATCACCTGTCTGGGGTCTTGTGCATTCATTCCTGCCTGTGGCAGGGGGTCAGGCTAGATGACCCTAGATTCTGTGAAACTATGACTGGGGTCGGGGCTAGAGCAGAAGGTAAGCAGCAAGGGAGGGGCAGGCTGCACAGCCTCCCCTGTCCCCCCCATGCTTCTGAACTGCATGCCACAGGTCTCCCCCACCCTCTGTGCAGTCTCCCTTCCACACTTCCTACTGTTTACCCCCTCCCCAGCAGCATGAGCCACCTAGGCCCAGAACAGGCAATGGCTCAGCCATGGCTTCACCCAAGTCCTGGAGCCTGGGCCACAGCAATCGTGTGCCCCAGCTGGTACTTGTATTAAGGTAAATCAAAATTTACCTTGTTGCGGGGGGACCTCATCTTAGATTCAAGTAAATATGGTAATTATCTGTTCATTAAACAATTAAATTACATTTGTTGTATTAATTTACTCTTTTTGTACTGGTGCATAAGGCCAAATGCTCAGTGTTATCAAATAAACCACATATTTGTGATTCTCTGGAAAGCCTGACTGAATCAATAAAAAGGCATTCTATGCCTCTGGGAAAGAAACACATTGGCCTATTTGGTCTGTAGCAGCAATGTCTGCTTGAGGAGCAGACATTATATAAAGCCATATCCATGGGGCAACTGGTGTGTTGGAACAGTTGTTCACCAGCTTATTGTTGTGAAGAAATTTTAATAAAAATTAAGAAATGGATAGATCCTCAGGATTATCACTTTTTGTTTAGGTTGGAAGCTTTCTAAGAATTTACAGCCTACATGCAAAGCAAGCCAGTCCAGAGAATCAGGCTGATGTTTCGTATATAGAGTTTCATCTTCATGGTGGCACCTGTTATGGTCGAGGATTTGGGGTCCTACCAGAAAGTAATCCAGATGTTAAAGAACTAAAATCGTAAGTTCTAGAAGTTATTTTTGAGACTCAACCGAAGGGGTGTGTGTGTATATGTGTCTGTAAGCAAAATGTATACATTCTTAGATTATTGTTCACTAAGTATTTTATTGGATTGGGGTCTATAGAAAGAGAATAGCTAAGAGATCAACAGCCCAGTGTACTTCATATGAAAGTCCATGCTTATAGAAAGTTCCACCTCTCCATTGGCACTATATTGGACACTTACTCAAGCTGCTACCTGAGTCAACATCCCCATTCCTGAAGCATTTGACTTATTCCAGTTGTAGGCCCATCAGAGTTTCTGTTGCCTGGATACATTGCATCTACATTCTGAACTGAAAAGGTACATAGAAAATGTGTTTACTTGTATTTTTAAAACCTTTACTTTTTTACAGATTTTTGGATTCTGTGGATCTCACAGAGCATCAAAATGTGGAAACTGTGTCTTCAATGGAATTGGATAGTACTTCTGACAGTGTTTCAAGTAAGAGGAATTGGAAATTGATTCATGTCCCCATGCAACATAGACATATCACTATCTTGAAGAAAACTTGTAATGTTCTTAATTACAGAGCATTAAATATCTATAAGGTTGATGACTTATTCGACCAGAAATCAATGTTAGCTGATGCTGCTTCTATGTCACAGAAGTTGTTATATTAATAAAAGATTAATGCCTTAAAAGGACTTTTAGTGATCAGTTGAACATAGATAGTGAGAATCTCACCTTTGCTTTGGTGGTAAAAATGGCATTGTAGAGTGATGGTCCAGGGAACATACACACAGAAGTATTTGTTTGGCACTTCTGCTAAATTCTTTGCTCCAAAGGTTTACTGCCTGCTTCCCTTCTTAAGTGACGGCTTCCATTTACATAATAGAGTTTAACAAAAGGAATTTTTCTGTTGGGTATTTAGGATAAAGAGGAAGGCAAAATGTTTCAAAGAACCAAGATGCTGTCAGTCTAATTTCTGTGTGTTTAGAAGCCTTATTCCCATTTCATTCTGTTGAATGCTCACTGCCCAAACGTTTTACTTGATAAAAAGACAGACCTATTTGTGCTAGTATCTAAACACCAACATCTTGAAAAAGAAAAACTAATGTACTAAATTTTTTAAATGATATCGTTTCCTTAAAAATTTAAAGAAGCTGGTGTCTGGAAGGAAAAGTTTTTACAGTCATGGTTGGATTTTTTAATTTAATTTATAATTTCTTTGTACACATCTTTCCCAAATTAATTTCCTTCTATAGGCAGTAGGGTCCCTTAAAACTGCAAGTACTTAGGTGTTCCTGTATGAATTAAAGTATCTGAATCTCATAAGTCTTTTTCTGTATAAATGTTTTTCATGGTCAAATCTAAAAGCACTGTGAAACACTTAAAAACAGGCTTTACCCAAACTCAGGACAGAGTAGATGCTCTAATGGTAAAAGGGATTAAGTGTAGCAATTAATCTATTATAAAGCACTTTCCAGGATTTAAAATGCTTTAAATTAAGGCATTAATTTTGATGCTACATTTCTTTTGTTAGTCATGTGAGCTTAGTTGATAAGCAAAACTTATAAGAAAGAACAAATGCAAAGCATAAGTCAGAGCAAAAGCTGATGGATTTCTGAACTAAGAATAATTTCTGACTGTGGAAATTGCAACATTGCAACCAACAAAACCTGAAATTGATATTAAACAAAGCATAAATGTAGCACAGAATTCTGTTTGCTTTTGTAGGCCTAAATGGTAGTTTTCTCGCTGTACACTGGGCTGCTTTTGGCCTTCACTCTTTGTTGTGGCACAGAACTGTGTGATGCACAGACCAGGTGTGTGTGGTAGGCTTTGCACTGGCTGGGCACATATGGGGAAGAGGAAGAAGATGGGGCTGTCTTATTTCAGCTTGCTTAAGCAGCAGCAGATGCAAGTTCTAGGGTGCAAAGGGATCTGAACCTGCATCTCTAGCTTCCCAGCACAGCTACCTTTCCAATGCTCCTTTAGAAACCGAGCATTTAGTAGTATTTGATAAACTAGATGGAGAACAGTACAGTGCAAAACTTTTTGTCCCATTGAAAAAAAGAGCCCAGACTAGAACCTAGAGTCTTCTCCCTTTCCTCCTGGCTTCATGCATCTCCCTCTCTTGGCTGCGGCGGGGGTCAGCTTCAAAAGGAGGCCTGGAGATGTCTATATAAATCCTGTCTGGATGAGGAGGTAGGCCTAGAACCCAGCTCTCCTGCTTTCTGGGCAAATACCCTAACAACCTAGTTGTAAGAAAATCTATTGTCCTTCTCTGGCATTAACATCCATTAGTCATAGGTTTCTGACCAGCAACGTTAACCCGTCCACAGTGGATACCTGCCCATTCAGTGCATAACCAATTGTGCATGCTCATCCTATGCACCTGCACACTTACACAGCTACAGTGCAGGGATAATAAAATTACTACCTGTGCATAAGTGCCAAAAATGTCACTTGCACAGTTAGAAAACTACCATTTAGATGCAGAAAGGGAAATAAAATTCTATGCACAGTGTTACAGGGAATAGCATGTCACGTGATGACATTAACTGCTTTTCTATTAACATAAACACAGCAATTATGTGTGACTTTATTCAAAATGGATACCAATCTTACCAGTTTAAAAAGTGATAAGTATCAGTTCCACACGCCGTTTTTCTCAAATGTCACCTGTTAACATCTGATTTTAAGTTTCGTACTGACTTCTTTTTCTGCTGTACTACAAGTGATGTATATTTATTTAGAAAGTAGTTCTGTATTCATATGCTCTTCTGCATGCGTATTTAGTAACAAAAACTCAAAGAATTTTAATGTGTTTTTTTTGGATTCTAGACTCAGAAGTATATTTAGAGAGATGCCAGCAATTGTCTGTCACAGGTAAGAAACAGCAGAAAGATTTCTTATTACTTATAAGTAACAAAGATAAACAGTTGAAGTAGCTGCATGTATCTGATTTCCGTTATGGATGCAACTGTTTAAGCCATATGTGTATTCTGACATAAATTAAACTATACAAGTGTTCTTTTTTGGCCTTTGGGATGCACATATGTTCTAGAGCTGTGCAAAATTTCGATGAGTGTTTCATTTTGACACTGTTTCAGCTCATTTTGCGCTCAAAGCAGCGAAATAAAAATGAAGTGAAAGGCTTTGAAACAGCCTCAATGAAACGAGGGCACTCAAAACATTTCAAAAGTTTTGAAAAGTTTTGAGTTTTGAAGCTGGGGTTGCAGCTAAAGAGAAACTAAGAAGGGTGGGGGAAGGACTGCTCTGATATTGACATGTGCAGCTGGCCAGTGACTATGATCCTCCTCTGAAGTCCCTTCCAATCCCAGTGCTCTGGGGGAGGGACAGAAAAACAACATAAAAAGCATTGCTTGAACTGAGCTTTTTCTGTGCCTTGGGATCAGCTTACTGAGCCATCTTCCAGCCACTCAGCAGCATCAGAGAAAAGCTTATCACTTCCCACTTGCTAGTTTATTCCTAGCAAGTGGGATCCAATACCTTTTGCTTTCATAATACCGTTTATTATTATATTAATTCCTTTCAATTTATTCTTCCCGCAAAATCCTCTTTTTGTTTTTGTTAGTCTATTTTAATTCTTTTCCCTCCAGAAAATAAATCTGCTTTCTCTCACAGCGCGCATTCCATTCACTGTACAGAGCAGCACAGCATATATTGCATTTTATAATATACAGTTTATTCAGAAACATATACAAACACTTATTTTATTTATTACATAAATGCATACATACATACATTACATAAATATATACATACAATTATCTACATATATCACATAAATTCATATTACATTACAGAAGAACACACAGACTTTTCAGCACACCAAATACACTATAAAACACACTACGAAGCATGCTGGAAAGGCAGCAGGCAAGCCTTCAGGGAGGGCCGGAAGAGGGGGTAGAGGGAGAGCTGGAAGTTCCCTCCCACCTCCCAAACTCAGACACAGCCTCTTTCCTACAACTAGCAGGCATGAGGCTTCTGGTTCTACTGGCAGCAAGGAGAGGGGAGCAATTAGATTTGGTGGAACTCCACGTACCTGATGCTCGAGATGCTGGTAGAGCAACAGAAGGCCAGCCATGAGTTGGCCTTACTCAGGGAGATTGGGATCAGTGGCCCTCTTAACAGAGCTGAGTGGGATACCATCTCCCAGATCTTGGTGGCCCTCAAGCCCTTCTTTGAGGCCACGAAGACCCTCAGTGCTGGCAATGCCTTCCTTAGCCAGGTGATCCCTGTATTGAAGGAACTTCAGAACTAAATGGAGAAGTTCCAAGGGTTCAGCGTTCCTGGCTGGGGCAAGCCACTGTCACCAGACGTGCAGGCAGTGGTAAGGTGACTGAAGGAGGGCATGAGGAAATGGCTTGATCTCTTGAGGTCCAGTGCGGTCCACATGCTGGCCGCCATGTGTGATCCGAGGGTGAAGGAATACCCGTCCAGTCTACCAACCAGTGTTCCAAGCAAGAGGATATTCAGTATTGCTGGTAATGTAGTGACACCCCACCACACCTCCTTGGACCCCAGTACTCTTTCCTGCCATGGCAGGGGGTCGGACTAGATGATCGGCTCAGGTCCCTTCTGACCCTAGAAGCTATGAAACTATGGATCCTGGTTTAGTGGAGCATCTAGTGCTCCTGAAGATGAACCTCCCACTCCTGGGGTTCCCTAAGCTCCACATGCAGATGGAGTGAGTGCCACCCTCCTTGCTCCATCCTCACTTCCTTCTTTTTTTTTCCCCTTTGGTTTTGCAACTGTTTAGTGCCCCACTCTCAGAGCTGGAGGGGGCACTCACTGTATCACCAGTCAGCAAGGGAGAACATGTCCCTGCTAAGCTCCCATGCTAGGACAAACTTGGAGGTATGGGCAGGGGCTATGGAGAAGGAGGCCCCAGATCCTGGGCAAAACCACTAAAACTGCACACTGCAAGGGTCATAGGGCCTGGTGGGACTGCTGGTGGTGGAACAGTCCCAGTAAATGCCAGGACTGAGGATGTCCCTTGTGAAAGGTGGGTAGGAGGCTCCTTACAACCTCTAGCCAACACGCACGCACGCAAGCTCGCTCGCTCGCTCTCGCTCTCTCCTGGCAAGGGAAAGTCTAGACCTGTCACATCTTTGACAGGCCTGAGGCTTTCTGTTTGCAGTGGAGTTGTGAGGCTCCAGGTGAACTCAACTTAGGTGCCTGGAATGCCAGCTTTCAGACTGAAAAACCCTTTGTTAGGCTGAGTAAGCACCTGCATTTGGTGTGTGTGCTGTTCCTGGATGGAAGAAATAGTAAAGAAGCCAGAGGCTGGCATGCAATGCAGGCAAGAAAGCCAGTCAATGAGAATGGAAATGGAGGCGTCAGGGGGTGAGGGACAGGCTTGGGGGGACGGAGGGGTGGGGAAGGGGGATGTAGCAGTGCAGGTAAAAATGGAGAGTTATCTGGGGAGTCAGATGGCTGGCAGGTTGCAGTGTGTCAGAATTCCAACGTCTATATTGAATCCATGAGTTTCTGTATCCAGGAGATTAAGTGAAGTTCATAGGCTCATCTGTGAAAAGTGGTTTGTAAATTCCCTTTGAGGATCAGGCCTGAGAGATTGGAGACAGGTAGTTGGGTGTTTTTGTCTTTGATAGATTTTTGGTGTGCACTCACTCTGGTGCATAGTTGTTGCTTGGTATCTCCTATGCATTTTCTTTCAGGTTACTTGGTGTCCTGATGAAGATGTATATTGTGAAGATATTTCCATACTGGAAATATTTTTGGCAAGTTTTGCATGTCTTGTCATGGCTTGGTCTGGATCCATTCAGTGTGTTTTGGGCTGTAGGAAGTCGGCTTCTGGTGACGAGGTTAGCGAGGTTCAGTGCTTGTTTAAATTTACAAACCGCTTTTCATAGATGGGCCTATGAACTTCACTTCATCAACCTCCTAGGTACAGAAACTCATGGACTCAATATAGACATTGGAATTCTGACACTGCAACCTGCCAGACATCTAACTCCCCAGGTCCCGCTCCACTTTTACCTGCTGCATCCTCCTTCCTCCCTCGCCCCAGCTTGTCCCTCACCCCCTGATACCTCCATTTCCATTTTTACTGACTGGTTTTCTTGCCTGCATTGCATGCCAGCTAGGGCTGTGTTGAAACACTATAGTTTCGTTTCAATGTTTGTTTTGCCTTTTCGAAGGGACAATGTATTGTTTCATTTCAAAGCACTGTTCTGTTTCATTTAATCAAAACTGTTTCACTGTTTCAGTGCATTTCAACATTTTACCCATAGGCTATAATGGGGAATTATGAAAATGCCTAAAACTTTGTCATTTCTTGCCTGATTTGGATGCAAAATTGCAAAGCTGGCATCTGAAGGCATGATGCCTGCCAAGTTTCAAGGAGATAGGTGCAGAGGTTTCTGGGAAACTGCACCTCAAATGCTGCAAAGCACAACTCCTGACACTTGCTAGCAGCAGCTGCCTCCTCTCATTTGGCATGCAAATCTGGGGGCTCGCACCCCTGGGAGGAGTCTGGCACTGGGTAAGATTGCTGCTGCTGCCAGTCCCAGGCAACAGCAGCAGCGTCCTCTTTTGGATGCACAGATCTGGGGGCTTACCCCTGGGAGGAGTCTGGCACAGCCCGGCAGCCCACCTGGGGGTGTAAGCCCCCCAGATTAGTGCCCGAAATGAGAGGAGGCTGCCTCTGCCACCTGGGACCAGCTCTTGACACAGCCCGAGCCCAGTGCCGGGGAAGATTGCTGCTGCCACTGGTCACAGGTGGCAGTGGCAGCCTCGTCTCGTCTGGAGCACAGATCCAGGGGCTTGCACCCCTGGAAGGAGTCTGGCAAAACCCCTCAGCCTTCCCAGGGGTGCACACCACTGGATCTGCATGCCAGATGACAGGAGGCTGCCGCTGCCACCTGAGACCGGCACTGAAGCCAAGTAAGCCGGGCTTCGAAATTTGAAACATTTTGAAAGTTTCGAAGCAGTTTCAAACCATTTTGTTTTGTTTCAATTTCGCTGCTTTAAGCTTGAAACACGTCAAAACAGATTTGAAACAAAACACCCAGTGAAATTTTGCACAGCCCTAATGCTAGCCTTTGGCTTCTTTACTATTCCTTCCATCCAGGAACAGCACACACCAACTGCAGGTGCTTCCTCAGCCTGGTGAAGAGTTTTTAAACCCTAAAGCTTGCTAAGATATATTTCTCCAACTATTCATTTGGTCTACTAAAAGATATCAGATTGACCCAAAGAACCTTGTCTGCCAGTGCCATGTCCTTAGACCTATCACCTGTCCCCAGTCAGCTGACCAGAAGGAGGCAGGGCCCTGGACACATCTAAGCCCCAGAGCTGGGGCTGGCAGCTGCTGGAGAAGAAGCTCCTGCAGGAAAGGGAAGAAAGTCTCTGTGACAGTTCGGCTGCATGAGATGCTAGTACTAGTGTGCTACAGTGCTTACCTGTTGTTATTTAAAGTGGTGGACCAGGCTGAGGCTGGAGGGGAGGAGGGGACCTCTTTGGGACACGCTACCGTGTCATGTAGAGGTCCCAGTGCCAGTGAGGGTGCACCTTAACACATACACACACAGTCACATGTCTCAAGTTTTGCTTGTCAGCAGTTTTATGTGCAGTTTCCCAGAAACCCCTGCATCCTGTCTGCTTGAAACTTGGCAGGCTTTATGCCCTCAGCAGGGGCTGCCATGCCTGCTGTTTTAACCCCCCTGGACCTTCACACTTACAAGTGACACAAGTTTTGCTATGCACAGTTTGAGGTGCAGTTTCCAAGAAACCCCTGCACCTATCTCCTTGAAACTTGACAGGCGTTGTGGCCTCAGCAGGGGCTACACTCCCTGCTGTTTTCATTTGAATCAGGCAAGAAATGACAACTTTTTAGGCATTTTCATGATTCCCCATTATAGCCTATAGGGAAAATGTTGAAACATGTCAAAACAGCAAACAGTTTCGACTAAACAAAACGGAACAATGCTTCAAAACAGCAAAACAAAACACTGTCCCTTCAAAACAACGAAACTGAAGTCGAAATGGAGCAGTGCTGTTTCACACAGCCCTATGTTCAGTTTAAGATGTGTTCATCCTCTAATGTTGGGAGTGTCTTGGAGAACTGCAACCACTGAAATCTCGTATGGCTTTCATTGGTACATTTTGAAATAGGAAGAAATGTAAACATTTTTTATATGAATAATCATTCTTCATCTTATATCGAACCTTAGAATGAACAATTTGACATATAATATTTTTAAAGCTTAGCCTACCACCACACATTCTTTAAAAGATTTCTGTTATCCCACCTATTACCTATTCCTGCCACTATCTCCATAAACATAGACACGGGATGAACCAAAATTGGTTTAAGTCAGGGGCATTAAACTCACCCCACCGCTTGGGCTAGATCCAGCCCGAACCACTATTTTCTTTGCAGGCTAGATCTGGATGCAGTGGCAGATATGGTGGGTGTTAAAGCAGCTATCACTCACTCCCTTTTGCTGGCATGGAGTGGGACTTCATGCTTTCCAACTCTTGATTTCAGTGGAGGCCCTCCCTGCCCCTTTGAGTCCTGCCCCTCTGAGTTCTGCAGGCTACATGCAATGAATATAGGCTAAATCCAGTCCATGAGCCATATATTTGACACCCCTGCTTCAAGTGGTAGTTCAGATCACTATTTTACCTAAACCTTTAGGTAAGGTAAAATATTAGATTTGTTAATCTAATATTCAGTTCCAGCAAGAGAAAGGATCCACCAGCTGCCACTGAAAACTAGTACTAAAATTTAAAATCTGTTTTTGGAATTGTAAGTTTTCAAATATAATTTACAGACATTAGGGTCTAATAATGTTTAAGAAAAGTTTCATTTATTAAAAAAAATAGGGAAAATATTTTAAGCACACCCCTGTCATGTCCTTCTGCTTACCCTTTTGTACTTCTGTGTTGTTTCATTATTTTTGATGGTTTACATTTTTATTCTTTTCCAGTGCTGACAGATCACCAGGATTTAAATGAAACAGCGTTGAATACCATTTTGAACAACCGCACTCCTCAACAATATCGCATTAGAGCAAAACTGAGAACTTTTAAACCCCAGAAGCTTTATCAGTCCATTAAACTTTATTGTTCAAAATGCAACTCACTGTAAGTGTCTTACATAACTATTTAGTGTTTTAGGATTTCTAGGTTTTCTTGTATTTCCATCTTTCTTTTAATGGTTAAAATGAGTTGGATTTTAATCCATTTCATTTCAAGCAAAAGATGGAAAGGTTACTGAAACCAGATGGGGGAAAATCTGTGATCCTATAAGATGTTCTTATTTTGCCCCATTTAGTATACCCAAATTAGACTTAGTTTCAGTTCCTATATTTGGCAGTCAGTTTTGACCTGGATTTAGTATATGGAATTACTGCATGTAAATATCTATTCTTGACCTTTACACCCTTCTTTTTTGTACACAAGTGCAAAAAGTATTGGTGTCTGAGATACCTAGTTTTGGCTTTTGTAGTACTATGAAGAAGGTAACTCTCCACAGAATTAAAAGCAGTGTTTGGCTTCATTTATTAAAGTTATTTTTATTCAGGGCAGGAAAATACCATTAAAAGAATACTCTCAGGAGCAATTTTGGCGTGGCCAAACTCAGTCTTGTAAACCAAGCATAAATTTATTTAATCTTTGTTTCAGGAAAGTGAATTGAATATGTTAATAAAACAGGCAACCTAATCCCTTCTAGCACAGCTTGAGATGTAGAGGGATCTAATGGGTTGTGAGAGAGTCTGGGAGTCTCTTACTTCTGGTTTCAAATCCTAATTCTCTCATGTGCCTGCCAGGGGTCTTACAAGACATTTTACTTTCCTGTTTTCCATCTTTAAAATGTATAATGGCTAAAATATGTAATGTCTTCCTTACAGAGGAGGGTTGTGAGGATTGATTTGTTAACA